AAAAAAAAAAAAAGGATCTAAGGTGCTTCAGTTCTCTAAGGAACAGGGAGAGAAAGTTCTTTTATGTGGAATTGTACAAATCTTTTCCATGACACACCTATGGGTGCAGCCTATTGTTTCTGTAACTGAGTGTCGTGGACTTAATCACACTACTCTAAGGGGAGATACAAACTAGTGTAGAAGTCTTTCTAGCAGGAAAGGATGTTGCAGCGGACCAACGCATTATCTTCTTATAGCAACAAATGTTCTTTACCCAGCTTTTAACCTAATAGGAAAGGAAGTTTTTCATTTATAATAATAACATAGTGCTACTACCAGTATAGCATGCAGAAGTTAAGAAGAGAGCTTTTGATGCCAGATTGCTGGGTTCAAATCCCAACTGTTCCTTTTTTTTCTTTTTTGGGTTTTTTTTTTTTTAAATTAATTTTTATGAAAGTTTACAGAGACTTAGAATTTCCCTTGTTTTCTCCCTGCCCACCCATCTCCCCAATTCACTTTTCTCCTTGAAAAGTAAAAGAGAAACTCTTTCATTATTATGCAGTCCCTCTGCCCAAGTCCACTCTACTGTGCAGCCTTCACTCTGGATAACACCCATCATGATGATAACACCCAATCATATATCTCTTTTAAACAGTTCTCTCCCTCAACTGTTTCAATGCAGTATACATTGTTCATCCCCCTCCTTCTCTGTCTCCCCTCAACCCCAATGTCAGTCCCATTTAGTAACAGTGGGCCTATGCAATATTTATCCTTTTGTGACTGAGATATTTCACTCAGCATAATGTCCTCCAGGGAGTTCTTGTTTTTTCCATGCTGCATAATATTTCATTGTGTTAATATATCAGAGTTTCTCTATCCATTCATTTGTTGATGGGCAATTGGGTTGTTTCCAGCTGTTTGCTATTGCGAACAAAGCCGCTATAAACATGGGTGTACAAATATCTGAAATATCTGCTTGGGTGGTGGTTATGGTTTCTTTAGGGTAAACTGCCAGTAGTGGAATTGCAGGGAAAATGGTATTTCTATTTCCAACTTTTTGAGAAAGCGCGAAATCGCCTTCCACAGTGGTTGCACCACTTTACACTCCCACCAACAGTGAATAAGAGTTCCACTTTCTCCACAATGTTGCCAGCATTTGTTGTTTGCTGCTCTGTTAAATTTTGCTTTTCTTATTGGTGTGAGATGATGTCTTATGGTTGTTCTGATTTGCATCTCTCTAGGGATTTTGAACATTTCTTCATGTGTTTGTTCACCATCTGAATGTCTTCTTTGTTGAAGTGTCTGTTCATATCCTGTACCCATTTTTCAATTGGGTTCTTTACCTTTATCTTGTTGTGGTGCTCAAGTATTTTATAAATTCTAAATATAAGTCCCTTATCTGACATGTCATTACCAAATATTTTTTTCCCAATCTGTGTCTTCCCTTTTACCATGTTGGAGAAGTTTTTGGATGTGCATAGGGATTTGATTGTTAGAAGGTCCCATTCATCTGTTTTATCCTCTCCTGGTTGTAGACCCATCTGTTTCTTATTGGCTATATTATTATGGGGAAGTTCTTTAGCCCCTCTCTGCCAAAGCTATAGAATAGCGATGACTGTACATATCTCCTATAAAGGGGTTATTGTGAGGATTTAACAAGTTGTTGTTGTTTGATTACCTGGAGCCAACTAGGACTCGTAATGACCCTGTGAACAGCAGACCTGAGCCTTCCCCTATCCTGCTCCTTCCTCATGACCACCACACAAGCCCAACATGTCAATTCATCCTGCTGAGGGCCTCTCTGTTTTTCTCTGACCCCCCACCTTTCCAATCCTTATGTCTTTCTTTCAGGGACTTTCCTGCCTTAATGAGCACAAGGTTAAATGAATCACCATGTTAAAGGAATCACTGTGTATTTATTAGTTTTTAATTGTCACCAGGGTACAGATGATTCAACAAAAGAAAGAGAATTAATGTCTAGCCCAAAGCTTGGTGTATGTGAGAAAAGTGTAGCTATCTCTAAGAACTCTGCATAATGCTTTCCCTATCTTCCTGGGGAGGACTTTAGTGAAATAGCAATGTCAGGATTCCTTCCCCCTCAGATGAAAGTGGGTAAAAGGAAAGGTCTGCATGAGCTTTAGATTCAGAGAAATCTGTCTTTAAATCCTGAATGTTACTTAGAAAATGATAAGCCTGGGCACTAAATTATTCTATAAACTGCAAACTAGAACAGTGTTTATTTAGAAAGGTTCTTTAAGAATAAATGAGACAGTGTCTAAATTGACTGATGCATAGTAAGATCCCACTGAGTTACTATTCCTTCCACAACACTGTCAGTGCTTATTTTTATGGTGTGTACTATTTCTAATGTACAATTACCAGCAGATAATGCTAATGCTGAGGAGGACTTGTGTATGTTAGGCAACTATCTATCCTCAGAACACAGGACACCAAATTTTTACAGATGAGGAAATTCTGGCATAAAGAATGCATGTAGCTTGTCTGAGGTCACATGCTTAATATCAGATCCAGGATTGAAATCCAGGCACTCAATCCCTCCACCACACTGCCTCTCTGATGTTGGTGTTATCCGCCAGGGCTCATGGGGAAGGTCAGCACACAGGACGCTTGTGAAGCTCTGCAGAGTGTACACAGTGCAACACAGGTGTGCTTGGTGCTGTAATGACAAACGGAGTGAAACAGAACATGGAGAAAAAGTGACGTTGCCCCTTCGTTTGGTCGTGATGCCTCTCAGAATAAAGTTATCAAAGACCATGTCACTCAACACAAAGCAATTACTATATCACAAAAGGAATGGACCATCACTACATGCATGGCTCATTTGCTATGCTATTTCTTGCCTTAGACTCTCAGTTAGTTCTTACCAAATTAAGACACACATGGACAAAAGCAAAATGTTAACATTTCTAACAATTTATTGTTCCTATAACATAAAAACAAAATGCAGAATTAAAACAACAAAGATTCTGTCTTCTAGGAGTCTAAAGTGGAAGGCTTTGAGGCGACCATCTAGTTAAGGAGCACACTTAGGGGCAGACAGAAGTCCCTGGGTGGTACAAAAGGTGAGTGCTCTACAGACAATCAAAAGATCAATGATTTTAGTCCACCCAGAGGTGCTTCCAAAGAGAGGCTTGGTGGTTTGCTTCTGATAAAAACAGCTGCTGAAAACTTTATTGAGCAAAGTCTACTCAGACACAGATGGGGACACCATAAGTAGGAATCAATACCATAGTGACTGGTAGAGGTGCAAGAGAGAAGCTGCACACCCCCCTGTGGGTGGTGCATTTGGTGGGATTGGTTTTGAGAAGCTGATAGAGACAATGGAAGAAGAAAATGCTACAAGCTTCTCCAGGCAACCCTTGGTCCTGTCCCCCGGGGACTGGGACTATTGTTTTTTGTTATTGGTACACTTCAAGGTTTTCTCTGTTCATGGTTCTAATTTGTCAAAAATGTACTATTTTTTAAAAAAATTAGATATTGCAGTAGGAAAAACCCAAACTCAGAGAGAAAATCCAGCTAAGTCTTCAGTGGAAAGTTTGAAGGACAACAATAGAAGAAAACATTGCCCATTAGTTTCACCACCTGTTACGAGGTCTTTCCATCAGCACAGACTGCTGTTCTTCTGAGTAGATAGAAGACGACAATGGCCAAGTAGACCACACTTTTGAGCAGGAGGAGGAGATAGGTGTAGAATGCAGAGGTGTTCATGAGCTGCAGTTGTGAGATGCCTGGAAAAGGTTCTTTGAAAAAGTAAAAGAAAAATTTTTTCATTGTTATATAATCCTCCCCCCCGGGTCCACTCCACTATGCAGCCTTCATTCTGAACTCCTGTCATGACAATAATACCTAATCATAAAGGATGTGCTTACATGTTGAGGGGTCACTAACAGTTCTTTCTTACAATCTATCGTGTAGTGAAACCACACACAACACACAATCTATAGTTTAATGAAATCACACACCCAAGAAATTTCAAAAGCAAGTTTCTACTAGTAACATCATGAACAAGAAGATCACCCAGAATTGAGTTTGTATGTCTAGTTAATCAACAATCTCCCTTAACATCTATCAGAAACATTCCCAAGTATGAAGGACTCAGGTTTGCATTTTTAATAAATGAGTCAAAAAGAAGAAAAAAATATTTCATTACTAGTTCTTAGCATTTCTTTATCTACATCTTATCTGTAAAAAATAATAATAGATGATAATCAATGAGCACTAATCAAGTGGCAGACATTGTGTGAAGAGCTTTGTACAGAAAGCTTTTAAGCTATTTTAATCTGTACAACAGGGAGTCCTGGTGCTGTATTTATTTATAGTTTGTGCTTCTAACCCAAAGGTTGCAAGTCTCTGGTGATTTTAATTCACCAGCAACTTTCCAATAAAGAGACAGGTACTCTCCACTCATTAAAAGTTATATATAGTCTCAGAAACCAGATGGAAGACTGTTGTGAGTCAGAATAGACTCAGTGACAGTAAGAAAGAATCTTCACAATAACCTGAGAAGAAAGTGTTATTTTCATTTCTATTTTGCAATTAAACCCCTTAGGATAAGGAGCAAAGTCATTGGCTTGATGTCATGCATCTATTAAGTGGCAGAATCTACAGTTCAATCTCAGGAGTTAGCATTTAGATAGCAGGCTTTTTGTTCTCTATAACTCTGTATTTCCATGTGGAATAAATACCCCAGACATCAAGGGTTTGAGACATAAGTAAGAAGTTGAATTGTTAATGTAGAAGCAGCTGAGCTTTTACAGATAAAGCCAACATCCTGAGAAAGGTATATAATACTGGAAAGCAGTCGGCATGGTAAATGTCATAGTTCAGTAATGAGGGAATTATAGAAAATAGATAAGAATTGTTAGGTGCCATCAAGTTGACTACAACTCACACAGATCCTATAAGCAGCAGATCAGAACCTAGCCCTGTCCTGAACCATCATCCTGATCTCAGACATGCTCAGAAAGCCTGCTGTGACAGTCACTGTGTCAGTCCATCTTATTGAGAGTCTTTCTTTTGCTGACCCTGTGCTTTCCCAGCATGGTATCTTTTTCCAAGGACTGCCCCCTCCTAAAAACATACCCTAGTTCTGAGTATGTGGAGAATGGAAAGTACAGTTAGTGAGTAATCCAAATTCTCCAAACCTGTAGAATGTTATGACTAAATGACTTGGCTTTCCTAAATGTCTTTCATATCTTTTTAAATATTACTTAAATATTGTACTTAATGGCCTCTGAAGTGTTTTCAAGAAAAATGCAATGTCAAGAAGTAATTAATGCCAAAAACTGAAGGCCACATAGACTGCTCAATAGACAATAAAACCGAGCTGTTTCCTATCTTCAATTGTACATGTTCAGTCTCCAGAGTCAGATCTCCAGAATTAATAGCACTCAGTGTAGACAGAAGGCTCAAATGTTCAGAATCCCTGGGCCTCTGTCAGATGAAGGGTTACTTTTGTCCTTGCCTTGTGCTGAAAGTCATGGAAATCCGATGTAGAGAACTTTCCTAAATCTAGAAACAATATGTCTAGCAAGTATCCGTGTGTGTGTGTGTGTGTGTGTGTGTGTGTGTGTGTGTGTCTGTCCGTCTGTCTGTCTGTGTGTGTGTAAATATATATGGGGAAAGGGCTGGAAACAAGTGATTATTTCCAGTTTGTACAGGAGGTAGTATTTCCCAAAACACACATGCAGGGAAATAAAGAACTGTATTCATAGTCATGCAATAATAATGAAAAGAACTGGGATTAAGTCCAGTATATGAGACGTTGAAGACAGTGCAGGCATTCTCTACCATATTTCCATTACATTTTGCAACCTTGGACCTACTTAGAATTTTTTGCTTTGTGACTGTTTTATAGGAAAAGTGGAGAACTACTAGGTCTACTATATTGTAATATGGCTCAAGGAATTTCATCTATATCATTGCCCCCATTAATAAAATGGGCAGTAGAGGTGAAATACACTATTTTATAGGACCTTATGGCGATGAAACAAGAGAATGCTTGCAGGATGTCCTACAATACCTTCCGTATCAGAAGTTCTCAGGAAGTATTAACAAATACCAAGTACTGACATTAAAAAAAAAATCTAGAAGCTCTTAATTTGTTTTTCCCAGTCTTTAGGAAGAAAAGCCACAGGAATGAGTGAAGTCTGCTTGTTGAGAGCATAGCCCTGTAATTTATAGTCACTTCAAATTTAGTCACAATTTAATCATTCTAATTTATAGTCAATCTCATAACAAACTCAGCAATTTATTGGATTAAGAACATAAATTAGTTTAAATGATCACACGATCTATTCTGCAGCATCCACTCATTCTCCTTTATCTTTCTTAAGCCAAGGAAATTCAAATATTATTTCAATTATTTCAAGGAAATAAAATATTTTGAGGAATTAAAATGATCAGGAGGAGAAATATAATATATAGGCAGAAATACAGAGAAACTCACCCATTTTATCTTCCAAACATGTTTTCTCAGAATCAGCAAAGCCTAAAAGAAATGTGAACAAGAATTAATCAATTGTTCATACCCATTATTTAACATTGTGTGCGTGTGTGTACATTTAGTCTTCCAACTGAAAGATAGTCATTACAAATAAGTCTCAGTCCCAAGCATAATGGTTCTAATTCTTTGCAACTAAGTAGGTTAGATTCATACCATGTGTTTCTGCATATAAGATTTCTCTACCAAGCAAAGTTAAGGAGTCATAACTTCCCAAGCTGAAAAAAATCCTGTTGGGATTTCATGCAAAAACTGATTATTTTTTTCATACAAATATTGATGCGTATCTCCTTTTAAATAGGAGAATTATGTTTGTGGAAATAAAAACGGTGCTAAGAAACGCTAACTTATTGAGCATTTTTTACTCTGCCTGGCACTAGTTTAGATGTGTCTCCTGTTTTACTTTGCAAACCTTAATAATAAAGAAAAAAGTTATGTTATGGACAACCTCATTTTACAAATTAAGAAATTAGGCCTAGTGTGTAAGTAACATGTGACAGTCATAAAAGAAAGTCATACAAATTGGATAAGCCAATTTTCAAAGCATTTTGGAAGATTCAGTGAGATAAGACATTTGGAGACCACTTTGTAAATAAAAGTGGGGTATTTTTTAAGGGCATCTGGTGGTGCAGTTCATAAAGAGTTGCACTGTTCCTCAAAGGTTGTGTCGCTTCTTCATGGGTTCTAATTCACAAACAGCTAATAGGAGAAAGATAGACCATCTCCTCCAGTGCGATTTACAGCCTTTCTAAAAACCAGTGGAGGATCAGCTGTGAGTCATTAGGACTTGACAACAATGAGAGAGAGAGAGAGAGACAGAGAGAGAGAGGAAGAGAGAGAGTTGCAAAAGTAATCTATAGAAACACATAGTAAAATAATCTATAAAAGAGAACCTAATTCCATCATTGAGAACACTGAGGAAATAATCTCTTCTGGATATTTTAATGATTCTTTGAAAAATGCCCTTTATATTATAGGATCTCAACACTTTCAGTATCATTCTTCCTGGTTACAGAAGGATGGGCTCAGTCACATTTATAATTGTCTAGGGGAGCTCTGGTGGTCTAGTGGGTAAGGAATTGAGCTGCTAACCCAGAGGCACATGTTTCAAATCCACCAGCGACTCCAAGGGAGGAAGATGGACATTCTCCTCCTGTGCAATTTACAGCCTCAAAATTCACCAGAGGGTAAACTGTGAGTCGGTTCAGACCCAAAGGCAGTGAGCTAACCTGACTTGAGAAATGTAAACTGTGAGGTGAAAGTTATATTTACTCAGGCCATATTAGTATTGTTTTTCCTCAGAGCTACGTTGATTTGGGGTTCCATGTTATGGTTTTAAATTGTATATGTCGTTGTTGTGTACTATAGAGTTGGAACTGACCCATAGCTGATGCTCTGGTGGGTTTTGAGAGGCAGGTAATCATACGGGAGGATATTGCCCATCCTTCTCCTGCAGAGCAGTTGTTAGCCTTGAACCTTTGGAATTACCTCTAGGCCACCAGAGCTCTCTAAATTTTATGTGTATAATGATGTATAGATTTAAATTCACAACTTTTGAGAAACAACATGATAGACTTGCTGTGTAGAGACCATCTTCGCTAACAGAGTTCCCTTGAGAAACCCACATGGACACTTCGGTTTAGAACTGAGTTTCAAGGGAAGCACACTATGGGAAACCTAGAGGGACGCAGCTGCTTCCTATATGCAGCAGTCTCTGAAAGGCTGAAGGTTAGAGCCCACCCAGGGATGCCTACTGGTCGACTTCTGAAAAGTCAGCCATTTAAAACCTTCCAATTCAACTATGACACATTTGAAGTCACCATGAGCTGGAAATAACGCAGCAGTAACTGGCATAGAGATTCTTTACAAGCGGAAATATCCCTCCTTTGTGACAATAGCTATCACAGAATACACATAATTCTTTTTTTCTCAAACCACTAGAAAACTTAGAACTTAATTGGATACCTAGACACAGGGTAATATAAATTAATCTGGTGATTGTATATCTCCCCCCCGCATTTGCAATAAGAGTATGTAATTGGAGATATTTTAATAATCCATTGTTAGTCAATTTTTAAAGAAAGGATATACATAAACTAGATTAACAAAAATGTCCATGTTACATTTTAGAAAGCAGCATTTTCATAGACACAGACATTATTTCTTCTCAACCCCATGAAGCATTATAATTCATGACTTACCCTTGTAAGTGTTAAAACCACACATGACAACCAGGGGGTGGGGGTGGGGGGAAGAATCCAAGAGGGTAGAGTATTAAAAAAATGAAGACTGAGAAAAACTTGATGAAATATGTTTACAGCATTGAAGTCTATGGGGGAGAGAATAGTCTAAAAGTATTATATTTTAGGGCATTATTTTTATCATAGGAGT